TTGGTCAGAGCAAAACTAGAAAAGGGCTTACGATGGAACTGAAACGCAGAGATCACAGTTGCGGTTGTAGTGTAGAGGTTTTGGAGTTGTCTTAACTGGGTTTCTTGCTTTAGTAAAAACGGTATTCACCCTCAATACGTGAAATACCTCTCTCTCTGTAACGCCACACTTTATTTTATTGCGTTTTTGTATAGCATTGATGGTTTCTATAATTGCGACGTACAGTTGTGGTATTAAGAGGTGAAATAAGTCGGTTAAGTCTCCACTGAAGGCCCAGGTACCAAATGCACGGCCACTGAGATTACTAAAGGTCTGAGTATCTAGAAATGAAGACTAACTGGAGGATGACTTGTATAAAGCTGCAAGTAATGGTCTTGTAATTTTTCGTTATATATATAAAATGTGTGTGTATATGATTGAGGGAGGCAATGCATGTTAAGTTGATTAACTGCTCGGTACCTATAAGGTTAGATATTGTGTAGGAAATGCTAAACATGTGCTTTTCTAAGAATTCAATTTTTTCATCACATCTATATTTGTGACACTTGTCTTATTCTACGCCTGTAATGCCTCCTGTTCTACATTCAAGGTGACAGACCTGCTGAGTACATCAACTCCAGAACTTAGGAGGTGCACAGTGAAGAAGATAACCCAAAATGTCGTGGGCTTGCACTACAAACCTCCAGACATTTCAGATGGTGAGTAAATAAATTGTTCAGACCACTGTGAAATGTGTTGCATTAAGTTCTTATTGCTTTCAATAGCTTCTCAGTGAAATTTAACATTCCTTCAGTTTAGTATTGCTTAGATGTGGAACCTTTTTACAATAGTGGTGCTTTAAAACTGCAGATTACTTTAAATTACTTAATTGTCTTTCTTGCATAGCACATCATACTGTAAATTGGATTACACACAAACTTGAAACTTGACATCTAACATTGTTGGATCAGAATTCTAAAGAATAATTTAAATCAGAAGAATATTTGTGGTTGCATTCATCTTCTTTTCCATTGTTTTTATCACTGCATTATGTTACACACGATGGCAATTAAGAACTCTTTTAAATGCTGGTAAATATCTTTATATTGTGTACTTCATCAGGACTGAGAAAAAAGTAAAACATCCACTGAGGTTTTCAGTAAGCTGAGACCAGTAAAAAGAATGGATCTTGCCTCCTGATCATCAGGTCTCTGGTTCACTACCATCTGTCCTGCCTTTGTCCTCTTCTTAATATGAGTAACTCACACTGCTTTGGCCACCAGTGCTGGTATTTAAACCTTTTGATTATAATCAAAGTTTATCACCAGACTTTTATTCATGGAGTCCCTGCAGATGCATCACTTGGCTATGGCCGAATGTCAGATTGAACCAGCGGTATTGGATGATGCACTGGCTTTCTACTGAACATTGTCACTATATATAGACTCAGAACACTCAGAAGAATGGAATGGGAGAAAATAAGACTGATGGCCTCTGTCAGGGTGAATCATGAACACTCAATGAACAGTCTCCTTTTCACCAGAATGCTATTTTTGTATGATTTTGCAGGATGGGCAATGAAGCGGTCAATTCTTTCCATTCTTTCATGTGCCCTTATAGCAAATAGACCATGAGTACTGGGCACCTTTATATCTCACAAATGTTCAGAATTACATTAGAGCTACAGACATGGCCAAATGTTTGCTGAGAGGCTCAGGCCAAGACAGTTCAAACAGACTCCATCTCTTATCTAGAGCTCCACATACTTGGAGCAGCTACGTGTTACCTAGTCATAACAAAATGAGGTAGCTCAATGTGTGTGTATGTTGTATGCGTGATGTGTGACTAAACATTCATTCAGACATAATTCTTACACAAGATTAATACAAGAATAACTGGTGCCAAGGTACCCTTCTCAGAGTCAACATTATCTTCTAACCTTGAAGCAGAGCACACAGGAACAGACTTTGAATCTTACTAAACTGCATTAATAACACATTAAAGTCTAATAATTATCTGACTGATTTATTAATTTCTAACAATATGACAAACACTTTGATCTTGATTCTGGCAACCACAACTGCTAGTATTTATTTCATTCTTACAGGATGCTTAATAATGAGTTTGATGCTTTTTTTACATTATATTCACTTACATGAAATGTGAGGATAAATAAATGCTGAGTGCAAAAATATCATTAGCATTGTAGACCAAAAATTAAGATAGCCATTTTGTTCTCATCTGTTTTTCTTTTAAGATTGCCACTCAACAAAAGGCTGAAGCCTGGAAGCACCTTGGCAGCAGGTTTATTATTTTGTCCAATATGAGAACTGGTGCATTGGTGAGTTTCCCTGTTGAATCCAGTTACATTTTTCCATCGCTGATTAAACCAAATATGTGATGGCCCCCATGTTGAATTTATCTCACTTAATGAACTGTTCCAAATTCAACTTGCTTTATAATTCTCATATCTCACTTTCAAATTACTGTACATCCACACACACTTTAATTCAGTGTGCATATAAACACAATCACATTTCAAACAGTGAATTGATAAAAATATTACTGATGATGATTCATTAAATTTATAACAAGTGTAAGCAATTATAGGTACAGTGTGTACAGAACATATGGACAAAGACATGGGACATAAACAGTGGCTGTGGCCAAGTGAAAAGAACCATGATATTAAAAAAAAGCAAAGCCACATGTGGCCAGATGTGGTGATAGAACTGATTCCTTTTGTGATCTGAAACGCCTACAAACACATTAGACCTGCTGTGAACATACAGCATTTTTTGCTCATCATGTCACTTCTCGTTAAATGTCATGTCACTAAACTGATGAGACAAAACACTTGTGATGAAGACGTGGACACACTAATCTGATTCTGTGGCACACAAATGCCTTTTAGGGTTGGATCAAATCAAGGAATTACAAGGGGTCTCCTTGCATTATGCAAAATATCCATAAAATATGCAAAATAGTACACTGAGTCAGATGAGAAAAGTGAAATGAAAAAGACTGTTCACTGTTTTAGATGCTGTAGCCGTTTCACTGATGCTCTTTACTGACAGCAGATGGCAGAGGAAGCCTGTATCAGAAGCTGATCAGCATGACACTGGCATGGGAAACAAGCAAGAGTCAGTTCAGTGCAGATGTTAGTGGTGGAGTCATTAGGAAACAGTTTTTACCTTTACTTCATTAATGTTATTTTCTGTAACCATTGCTTTTGTGTAACTTTTTACAATGTAAGTAATGGTGAAGTCTTTCAAAACTGAATTCAAGGCAAACGTTTTTGCAAGGCTGAAAATGTACCAAGAATACAAATCATGACTTGCTGTAAGCAGTCTCCCTTTGATTCATGGTCAGATTTTAGTTTATTTTTTTAAACCAAAGTGACTTCTGGAGATCAAGATAAAAGTATTTAAGAGCTCCTTACAAATGGTCTGCAGAGACACACATTTGTTAAGTGGTGGATGGTGTGAGCAGTGATCGCTAGTTCACAAATGCTTTATCTGGTGAAAATGGCTTGGATGCCATCTGTCTTTTTCTTAACAGTATTTCCTCATGTTTTACAGTGGTCAAGAAAGGCAATGAAAGATTGCAAAATCATTCCAATTAAATCCATTTTATCTTGTTCTATGTTGTGGTTTAGTCACTGGAGACCTGAATATAAAAACTGTTAAAGCTATTATAGTCATGTATTTTACAACATTTAATGTAAAAGAAATACATTTAGCACAATTTTAAATGACATATACATTGAAGATACTTTGTTGTTTTGATTGCTGACACGATGTGACCATTTATATGGTTCTGTTAGCACTTTCACAGCTGCCTATTCAAAAATTAACAACAAAAAGCATGTTGGAACAGTTTTTTTTTTTTTATTGCATGTTAGAACTTTTAGCATTACATTCAAACCGCACGTAAAATACTTCCACATGTAAATAATTTCAGATCATATGTACAAAGTAAGAAACATATATAATAAAAGTAATTCAATTTTGAAATTTGCTTTTCCCTCAAAGTTTTTGTACAGGATTGAGCTTCATCCTATTGGACTGTGACACAGCGGGCAGCAGTTATATTTGCTGATCTCCTTCTCTAGAGCGCAGTGTTTACACACACTGCACATCCAGAACTGGTACTCCTGTATTGGCAGACCTGTCACAATGCACGTGGGTAACTTTCCTTCAGCTCTAAAAGGGGAAAAGCAGAATTATTAGAAGTCATTTCAAGGATTATTTTTGATATGCAGGACAGCAGCAGAGAAACAATAACAAGGTTTAAAGGAAGACAAGGAGCTTCCAAAAGCAGCCTGCTCTTATCGTGTGACCCTACATGTTTCGGACACATATTTTAGGCAAAATACTGTCTCTACATCTCTACAGAGCACAGTCAACTGCTACAGAGAACTCCACAAGACATACAAAGAGTTAGTCTAGTACATACGTGGTGATGTATTATAGTAAACAAGTTCAACAGATTTATAATATTATAAAATCTAATCGAGATATACTTAAGAGTGATCCCACAGTTAGGGAAGTGAACCTCCAAAAAAAGTCCTACATGTTTCACAGTTAGTTGGTGAAAAGGAATGGCTAAAAAGGCCTCTGATTACCACCTACAAACATTGCCATAATGTGCTGTGCAGTACAGCAGAAGAAATATTTCTGTTCTAAAAACATACATAAACAATTCATTAACTGCAACACCACATATGTAGTATATCACCTCACCTGTCACTGTAAATGTTTTTACACTGGACTCACCAATAGATGCCTCAGTCAACATGAATATGCCATCAGAGTTTAAAAAAAAAATCTATGAACATTATGCATGCAATGGCAGTCTGTTGAAGGTCTAAAAAAAACTGCTGCAGAGTATTGAAGCCATAGTATATACAGGTTTGAATGAGGAAATAGATTATAAGCCATTTTAATACTGCAAGTCTCATTTTCCATACTGATAATTCTACTGACTACATCACTTCCAGTGCTATGATTGGCAATTTTTTTTGGACATTATTTCACTGGATTTGTAATAACATTACATCTGGTGCATTATTGATAAGAGTACCAGGTGTAAACAATCAGTTTTTACAGATTACGACCTAATGAGGTTGAAATTGGTTGATATTTTAACTAGTATGTCCAACTATGTAAAGGCTTACTCCTTCTGCCTAAAAGTGCCTGAAGAATGTTTCCTTTTCTTCAGTGTGATTAGCTGATCTGAACACACTGGCATCCTCACCCCTCTGATGATCTGTCCAGCTCCATCATGCGGCTGTCCTTTGGAGTGTGCTTGGTGAAGATCTCCAGAGCCAGCTCCTCGTATAACAGCCGCTGCTCAGGCTCCAGACTCTCCAAGGATTCAAGCTTGGTAAAGGCCTGTGAGCATGTTCCAAATGCGCAGTTGACTGCAGAGCAAATGGCAAGTAGAGAGTAGATCTCCACAGCTGGGATGATGTCCTCATACTCACGAAGGTGAAGGGCTTTAAAAATGGAGATAAACAGTGACAAATTAGAACTTCCACTCTGTTTGGGTTAGTGTAGGATAGGGAACTAACTTGACTGCAAAAATTAATTCATGACAACTTCCAACCAATTGTCTGACAACATATGACTGGTTGCTGGGGTAACTGCCCTTCATGTTGGAGCTGGTTTGCCTTCAGCTGAGGTATTGTCAAATGTACTGGAACACTAATAATAATAATAACAACATGTCTAATGGCCTCACATGCAAGACAAACCCAGCTGTGTACAGGCCATGTTGCATACACTCCTTATATACAGTATGCATTCTCATGACAGCCAAAACACTGCTAACACTCTGCTCATAAAATGCAACCAGTTATCAACCCCGCTCCATGATTTCTAAAGATCAACAGAAAGGGACCAGGAACTTAATTTTAGTATCCCACAAAATGAATTGATTTTAGCATAACTTTGCGTTCCTGTTTTTAACCATCTCAGGTCACATCTCTTAAAAACTGAGTAAATACCAGGGTGCTATAAATAAAGGAGGCAATAAATACAGATCAATACAAGCTATACAAGTGAGTTGTTAATAAAACATCTTAAAATGTTGCAGCAAGCTGTAAAAGCTCAGTCCTTTTAGATTTAGATTAGTTTGTAGGAAAGTGAGGAGACATTTTTCAAATTACCACAGACACTGATGAAGATGATAGGACTTTGTCTCTGACTTTTTAGTGCCAGTCAGTAATAAAGCAATTTTAAAATGCATCTAAGAATAAAATAGGAGCCAATTCTTTACTTACAATCAATATACTAACTACTAACAGTATGTAGAGAGATATATGGGCAACAGTAAAATCCATTACCTTGTTTTCACAATAAAGATAAATGTACAAAGTAGAAACAGTCCAAAATATAATACACGATTTAGACTGAAGGTAAGTGAATAAGACAATCAATAGGCAGTTAATCATTTACTTGATAAAATGTTGCAAAAATAGTGAACAAGCCCCACTGTAATTTCCCAGAACCATAGGTGAAGTCTTCAAATATTATATTTTACAATATTTACATTTTGTTTCCCCAACAATCCAAAACCCAAATCTAAAGTGACTTATCGTTTTAGCTCTAGAGAATAGTCAATTATTTATTAATGTGGTGACCTGTGTACCTGTGCGCATGGCATTCTCCTTGTAGCCTTCGTACAGCTGCCTCTGAGCAAGCAGGAAAAAGTGATATGCCTCAGCACCCCGCCAGGCGTTGTCCAGAATACGATTATCTGAAGTAGTTGCATCTTCCTCAAGCAACCCAGCAAGCGTAAATGTTGCCTAGTTGTAGCAAAATATACAATATGCACAGTACTGTTTCTCTATACATTTATAGTACGATTCTTTGTCCAGCTGCAGGATAGACCATAAACAATATATAATGTATGTATGTAGAGTATACTGTAGTGATCTTACCTCAGACTTCTTCACTTTGGCTTTGCTCTGCTGTGACATCTTCACCTGCTCATGGTAATTTTCAGTGAGACATGCTGCCAGCACATACAGCTTCTTTACCCGCAGCGGTCTGGTCCTTTTCTTTGCCTCCTCATCTGCTATCTGCCAACAAATGCCATTAGATGTGTTCACTAACAAGCAATTTAGGCAAATAATTCTCTCTATATTAGAACACAATACGCTCCATCCGTTTTTGAGAGTGATAATGCCTAATTTTTATTATTCTAGGTCAAGTATACAGATCCACCATTGTTAAAAATAATCTCTCTCATAGTTACTAAATTGCCTATTATTTTTAGAAAAACTTGATCATACCACAACATGAGAAAAATGGCCTGCAATGAGAAGGGCCCAATTGTGATCCCCCTGTATTCAAATGATTAAAAACACTGTTCTGTAGAAGCTGATGGAAGGTAATCACTGGCAATAGATGAAACATTGTACAGTGAGGTGCACAGCTGTAACTGTTTTCTGTTGACTGGTGATCACATGATGTATTATTAATAAAGACAGAGCTCATTCCTGTCATACACTGCTATGAGGAAGGTTTAATGCTGAAATGTGCCAGCAGATTTTCAGCCTACATACACAAGCCTACCTTAAACATGAGTTTAGCTGCATCAAGAAAATGGTGGGCTTTCCGATACAGTTCCACCACCTCTAGAATTTTGTTCTTCTCAAGAAAATGGGAAGCGTATTTGGAAAGAAGAGATTTAATCTCCTTCATATTGTGGGTCCTGGCGAGTTCTACTGCTTTGTTCCACTGTAAGAAAAATACAACATTCATTCATTCAAAAAAAAAGACCATTAACTTTTGCCTGTAGCATTTTGAACATGTTTTTTGTCAAAAGAAAATAATCCTAAAAGTCAGAGCAATTTTTATATATTTTATTTTAGCTTTCAAAGAAAATCTGTTTGAGCTAAAATCACTTTCTGGCTCCTAGTACTTACAACCCTTCTAAAAAAGGACCCACAGCTGCATATGTTGCTTAAAGTAGGAGCACAGCTGTTAGATAACATCCAAAGATACTGTATTTTTCAAACCATCTGTGGCAAAAGTAAGATTAGGTGATGGCAATAGCTGAAGTGACAGCCTGTTCATTTTGTTGTCAAAAACAGAGCATTAGCACAGCAGGGGAAACTGCCTAGAACAAATGAAGCTGGGACGGCTAATGCCTTCTCCTTTTGGGTCAGTTACAGAGCAGTACAAACCTAATGTCCTTTACTCCATTGTGACTAACCACCTTATACAAAGTGCAATAGTTGAAGCATACATGGAAGATTTTGAGGCAGTATTCTTATCAAACACATAATGCTAACATTTTCTCCTATGCAATGTTGATCCTGGACCAATGTTTTCTTGAACCCCGATCTGAACATCTACACTGTAGGACCACAGCCTGAGAGCAGCATTCACACTTCACAGCTAAATATCACTCAGGGAGAGTACGGGAGTGGGAGGACAGCAGGAGCCACAGTGACTGCTGCTGTCCAAAGCCGTTAAACCGTGTTGAACCTGAAGGTCACTGAGAGAATTTCATGTGTGTTCAGAGAGACACTTAGAGAGTCTGACACCACAAGTTTCTGTCTGTCTCTCACCTGGTTCAGATGGACACAGGTGTCAACAGCAGCTTTGGGCTGGTTGTATTTAAGGTAGGCATTCACAGCTTGCTCACACATGCCCACAGTGGCAAACATCTGTCCAATCTCCTACAACACAGAGATGGAGAATGGAAAAACTGTACATTTAGTTTAGTCATTTAGCTTCCACATAAAGCTTCATGAAAATAAAAAAAAAAGATTATTTTTGGTCAATCCTGAATATTTGGCTCACCGGCAAAAGTTTATGGTTCTGTGGCAGCACAGCGGTCAGCCTTTCAAGCCCATCATAATCCTCTAACATGTAGTAGCATTCTGCTAGTCTCTCCTGGTTATGACCCTGAAGGTAGTACTGCACGGCATTGACCCTGGAAACAGGAAAAAAGTGTACATAAGAGTTTAAGTAAAGCAGTTTTTCATTTGGTCAAGATAATGGAATCTTTTTATCAGCAATCTTAATACCATTAGTGAAATGGTGACATCTGAGAGATCAACTGCTGGCTATCTACTCTTTACATAAACATATTAAATAACAAAAGAATACAAACAAAATAAAATGCTGATGTTGGAAACTTGAGCGTGTACAGCTGTACAGTTTGTAAAACTAATGGATGACAATTTAACCCCCTCTTTTGCATTTATAAGCATCATATAAACAACTGATACATGGTGACTAAAACCCACTATAATGTAGCTGTAAACAGACAAAGATATTTTTAAGTGTTTATCAATGTATTTGTCAATAACTACTGTCCAACTGTGATGAAGCATCCATAACTTACGTATAGCTGATTATGGTTCACTACAGTTGATTATGACAATGACTGACAAAATAATACAACACAGATGTAATAATTTTAGATAACTATGAAATATCAAGTATACTATAATTCTATTTATCAAATTATTTATTTATAACTCAAGACAAATACATTAATAAACACTTGAGAATATGTTCTTAAAAGTACATGTTCAGAAACCATTAACAAAGTGTTGATTTACTATGTGAAAATGACAAAAGGGAAGAAAGGTGATACACTAGAGACTACTAAGTATTTGTAACTTCTAACTCTAGTATACCATATGTATACATTAAGACAATCAGAAAAAAGGGCAAACAAAGTCCCAGTACCACTTCTGTCTGTCAGCAAAGTAGTCTCCGATTGCATTGTGCGCCTGTTCCAGCAGAGTATCATCACAGTCCCCAGAACCAGATTTGAGCAACTGAAGCACCCTGAACCAGTCTCCCAGCTTGATCCTGAGGCTGATGGCAAGGTCCCTATAAAGGACATGTCCATCCTCCACCATTACCATCAGGCCAAAACATCTTATAAGGTAACATTAAAAATAACAGGCACAAAACCAAACTCACTAGTGTGCGGGCAAGTTTTGACATCACCATCAAATATGCCTATGGCTAGTTGTACCTGCGATCCATGTCCAGGTACATGCGTTCAGCTTCCTCAAACCTACTGAAGTAAGCTGCCACCTCTGCCTGTTTCATGGGCTCACTCTGCAGGTTGGCCAGGCGCTTGACAAACTCAATGCCCTGGTAGTCTTTACAGCGGACGAAGGCATGCTCAGCTGTCTTCAAATCCAGCTTTTGCAGGGCTGCTTCAGCCAAAAGGCGCCTGACAGATTGACAACAGAAAAAGGGGGTGGTTATTTATTATCACCAGATGGTTTGCCATGATGTGAATGCATAAATCCTTAGAAATGGTTAAATTAGGTTTAAACTAAAACAGAGCTACTAATAGTGCCGTATGAAGTCACTCATCAATCACTATGACTGATATTCATAGCTACAAATCAGCATTTAAGTGGTTTTTACAAAGTAAATGTCATTGATTAATCCATGTGTGTTAAACTCAATGATTTTATGACTTTGAGATGAGTGTACCAGCTACCTTCATGTCACAGTCATTTTCATTGAGATGAGTGTACAAGCTACCTTCATGTCACAGTCATTTTCACAGGGCATTTTTTGGTGCCAGACTTTGAGTGATCCTGCAAAAATTAACACACTAGCCAGAGACCACACATAGCAGTCACACTGCTTCTTCAAGAAACTTATCATAAATCTATAACACTCTGCCAAATCATCCTCCCACAGCAGCACATATGCGCAGATGAAAATGGGTAGTGACGGCAGCTAGTTATTCATGCTAATGCAACCCGAGAACAAGGTTTGTGACTGTTTTTGATTTTTCTCTCAAAAACAGACAATTTAGGAATTGACTTCAATAATCATTGTTGTCGCTTTTCATCACTATATACTGTATGTTCAAACTATACTAAGTTCAAGGAAGTTTTTACATGTGCAGGTTGAATGGAAAAATCAATCTATTGTCCAAGAAATTCCTTTTTTGCTTCCCACAGAAACATGACACCAGCAAAAGTAGAAGGGTAGCTGGTGTGAGTAGCAGCCATGTCAACTTCATTACCAGAAAATGCAACAATATATCACTATATGATCATTCATTGAGGATACTACCAAAATCCAAAACTTTGCTGAATCAAAAGTAAAGGTCACTATTTTGTAATTACCAGAGTCTTGGGTGAGGATTGTCTTCTATGAACTGTGAAGCATCTTCAATCCCAACTTTTTCAATCAGTGCCCGACTATCTCTCAGGGAGCGGATTTCAAAGTTGATGAGGTTGTCTTTGTTGGGCCTCTCAGGATCCTGCAAGGCAACCTCCCATAACTCAGTGCTTCAAGTCAATCAACAGATACAAACTGCACCCTTTAAAACACAACAGAGCTCTATAGTAGTTAGGTGAAGAGTCTCTCTTCATGTCTGTTAACACTACAAGGTCATTCTTAGCATTTTGCAATCAGTTGTTTCATGTTAGTCAACATACAAGTAAGACAAATTAACAACTCTGCAAATCTTGATTCTTTAAGATATTTAAGATGAAAAATAAAACCTTCAACTGACACTGAAGGCAACTCAAGTGCAACTTATTTTGAAGGTTTACCTTCATGATTTCATCAAGCAAGACAGATTTGATTTCCAGGTCCTCAAAGTTGCAGATGTATCCAGATGTTTGGATGGGCTCCTGTTTTTACAATACAATAAATAATTGAAACATTTGGCAAAAGTTTAATTAGTAACAGTACAACAGTGCAGATGAGGTTACGGCTTTAAATGAAATGTTACCGGACCATCACACAAGGACCGAGCACTCACCTCTGGGTCTAGGTTTCTGAAGACGTACATCCTGGTCTTCTCCATCATGGCAAACAGATCAGGGTTGTCATTTGCCCACTTCATGTCCCAAACATCCTTACGCTCAAATTTGGATGGATTTCCTGCAGATGCCTGGTTCCCAGCATTGTCGTCTGTGGAGGCACGAACCTCCAGGTCCAACAAAGTCAGCACACCTGCAATGTCGATTATGGCCAGACGACTAAAGAAAATAATGATAATATGTGTCAGCACTGCAAGTGTTATGTCCCATAATGAAATAAACTGTGAGCAAACAGTGATTAACAATGGATATTTGTACAGTGTGTCATTTCATAACACCAATCAGTACTTACCTGGAATTACAGTTCAAAGAAAGATAGTGGGCCCTGTTGTTCAAAGTGTATTTCTGGATGAGAACAACATTTGGGAGGCTGTATCTATGGATGGTGCCAGACTCACGGCCCTGTAAAAACACATACAACGGGACATGCAAAGTTTTACTGCAGTTTGACTTTATTTTCACTGTACACTTAATGTAACTGCAGGCTTAACATTATATAATTAAAAACAGAAATGCACACACCATAATCAGTGTTTTATCTGTCGCTGTGATACAACAGATGGGATCTTGGGTTACCTGAAACAAAACAGGAACATACAAACCATAATCATTTATGTCCTTCTAGTAAAAACAAAACTACTTTTTTCACTTTAAATGTTTTCCTTTGAGAGCTAATAATATCATTAGTATTTCATGTATGTGTATATAACTAATTATGTATAGAAACTAACAATTTAACAGAATTTAATATAAATCTTCTACTGCACAGAAATGCCCTTGTCACTTACTGTGAAGGCTTTAGCTAAATCTGGACCAGTGTCATTGGCTCCAGATGGATTGCTGTCAATGTGATAAACCCTAGAGAGGCAGGAAGTGAAAACAAATGAGAATGAGACAGCCATACAGGCAAACAACTGTCTTTGCCACTGAGGTGACTGGTCTGGTGGTTTAGATGAGAGGACAGTTCTGGCAGAACATTCAGTCATGCCCAGTCTGAACCCTCTTTGGCATTTGATTCAGATGAATGAACCCTTTTCACAGTACTGTCAGTATCAAGACTCCACACTGTAACAACCAGTGGCTGCCTTGCCTCTCTAACTTTCCACGATTTGCTTGATGTGTCCTGGAAGTTCTGATGTGGCACTGTTTAGTTTGCCCACCACATGGCTTTGTTAAATACAGTCCTCCTGACATCAGGTGCAGTTCCATTGTACAGGTAATATTATGCCAGTCTCTGAAACAACTCACCGCTCTCTTCCCTCCTTCTTAGTTTTGGTCACCTGGTTGATCTCCAGGGCAGTTAATTTTTTTGCCACCCTGTACTGCCACAGGTAGAAAACCTCTTTAGATGCAGCGATCACATGAGTCTTTGTCATGGTGACAAATAACGGTTCTGAACAAATAAACAAATGACAAGACTTAATTACAAAGATGAAGAGCAGAGTGTAAAGTGTATATAATTGTGTGTCTACTGTGAGCAAATAAATTTGTATCAGCTGCTTATTTGTTGGATCATGTGTGTGCTCAGTTTTTGGTTTCACATTTTGATTACACAGGACTGTTACCAATGGCCCCAGTTAGGAGGACTTTAGCGCTTTGTGTTAGTCCTTGTTAATCTCAAACGAAGTCTTACAGTATGTATGCAGGCAGGTGACAAATGAAAAACCCGAAATTGCCCCCAGCCACGGGGCACGAGGGGTCACCGATGGGTATGAAAATGATGCTATGGCTTTCACAGTCACCAGATCTCAACCCTGGTGAACACCTATAAGAGATGGCAAGGTGCACTGAAGCTGTTCTGGTGGTACCTAGTGGCCTAGCACCTTACCGAGACACTTTATGTTGGTTTTTCCTTTCATCTGTCACCTGTCTGTATATAATGCTCACATTTTATTCTCCTATAGTAAAGTTTACCATGTCATATAGAAAAATCAGCCAAATAAGAGCATGTGAATCACTGTAATAATTTTCTGAACCTTTGAACTATGAAATTCTGAGGACATTTTCTGTGTAAATAATTAACAACATGCAAATTCTAAGAAGATAATACAGTGCGCTGTCAAATGGATACACTTTGACTAGTTTGGGGTAAAAAGCCAACGTGTGGCCACAAGAGGAGTCACCTCCAGAGGGCATACATACTTGAGCTCACTCTGATTATTTACCAAGGAGGTACAGTGCCTTGCGAAAGTATTCGGCCCCCTTGAACTTTGCGACCTTTTGCCACATTTCAGGCTTCAAACATAAAGATATAAAACTGTAATTTTTTGTGAAGAATCAACAACAAGTGGGACACAATCATGAAGTGGAACGAAATTTATTGGATATTTCAAACGTTTTTAACAAATAAAAAACTGAAAAATTGGGCGTGCAAAATTATTCAGCCCCTTTACTTTCAGTGCAGCAAACTCTCTCCAGAAGTTCAGTGAGGATCTCTGAATGATCCAATGTTGACCTAAATGACAAAGGATGATAAATAGAATCCACCTGTGTGTAATCAAGTCTCCGTATAAATGCACCTGCACTGTGATAGTCTCAGAGGT